TTCTGTCTCTTGAGAATCTAAGGGAAGCCGAGGTGGAGTCATCTTTAAAATCAATGTTCCAACATTAAAAATGAGCCATTTGCTTCCAAAGAGCAAGTGAATTCTCCTACTACGGTTCTTCGTGTTCACAGGCATTCTCATCCATATTCTGGAGAAACACCACACCTGAAAACATAGGTTTTAAAAAATGTGCTCCTCAGCCCTCTCAGAGTCTGCTGAGCAGAACGCTCTTTCGAAAGCAACTTGGTGAAACATGCCCATCATTTTTACTGTGATGCTCCTTTGAGTAATTCATTCTTAGAACATTCTCAGAGATCTGAGAAAGGCTTAGTGTTCACTTACACTCAGTTATGCTTTTTTGTAATCTACAACAGTGAAAACTTAGAAATAGCCTCATGTTGCACAAAGAGGAATTGTTATATAAATTATAGTACATGTTTAGAATAGATTGATATACGGCTTTCAAAAAAATCTTTGGAGACTTTGGTGCATATAAACCACAGTGAGATACCACTCACAGCCATTAGGATAGCTAGTCTAAAAAATAAAAATAAATACGAATTTTTAAAAAACAGAAAATAAAAAATCTCGGTCAGCATGTGGGGAAACCGGGGCCTTCGTGCGCGGCGGGTGGGGCCGCGGCCGCTGTGGAAAATCGTACGCAGTTCTCCACGGCACTAATTCAATTAAACACAGAGTCACCCAGAGATTAAACACAGAACTTTCCTGTGGTTCGGCAACTCCACTGCGGGGCATTTACCCCAGAGACGAGAGCAGAGACGGGAAGAGATGTGTACACACCGTGTTCCCAGCAGCGCTGCTCACAACGGCCCCTGCAGAGACAGGGGCGACCGGAGCCCGTCACGTAACCTGTCACGTGCTCTCTTCAATCCTTAAAGCTCCGGGACACGCGGAGAAAGGAAAGAGAGGAGGTGGTCGCTGCCTTTTTAAGTACCTTAGCGATCTACTTTGAGAGATGACGTGTATCTCCCAAGATGGAAAACAGTCACAAAGCAACACGTTCCCTTGAAAATGAAACGCAGAGGTGACGGAGGACGGGCCGAGGCACACAGACTGACGGACACAGACTGATGGACACAGACTGACAGGCACAGACTGACGGGCACTCCCGGCCGGGACCTGGCGGCTGCCGGCCTTGGAGGGCAGACGGGCTCGGGGCCAAGCCGGGGTTCCTCCACCGAGCCCGCGCATCGCAAACACCCTCCGACGGAAAGAAAATAATATTTTAAAGTGAGGGCTTTTTAAACTTCGTTACTGTGAAATCGCCAACCCCTTGGTGTTCCGAGGCTCAGAAAGCAAATTTTTAGAAGAGGAAAACAGGACGACAAAGACGGGAGCCGTGACTCAGAGCGGTCAGGCCGGCCCGTTGCATAATGAACGTCCAGGAGCAGCCTGTTTAGGGGCGAGCGTCTCTGCCTCCCGCAGGGAAGCGGCCCGGGGGTCTGGTGCGTGAAGCCGCCCGCTCCGCACTGCACTGGCTGCCGCCGCATCCCCGATGCAGTGCTGCTGGCGCACACACATGCACACACACACACGCACACACGTACACGCACTCATGCGCACACACACATGCACACACGCATGTGCGCACACGCACGCACACGTGCACACCCAGCCTGCCTGCTGATTCCCGCGCAGACTAGGACGGCCGTCGCCGGGCATGGCACCAGCGGTGCCGGCAGCGTGCCTGCTGATTCCCGCGCAGACTAGGACGGCCGTCCAGGACGAGTCCTGTCGCCGGGCACCAGCGGTGCCGGCAGCAGCTCACACAGCGTGTGTTACGACCCGGTCAGCAAGAAGAGACGAAGCCAAGGTCGCCGGCGAAGTCCCCACAGGCACCAAGGGCGAAGCGGCAGCACGGTCTTGGGACCGGCCGGCAAAAGCGTGGGTGGGACATGTTCCTCAGAACAGTTCAGGGGAGACCAGGAGATGCCTCCTCTGCCTTTAAACCCACGGGAAGGAATTTAAGACAGATTTAAGACAGCGTCACCCCCCAGAAGGCCCGGGAACGTGACTCCACTGCCGCCCCCTGCCCAGCCTCTCCTACCTGGGTGTGGGAAGGGGCCCGAGGAGTCTGAAGGAACATGTAAATGAACGACTGAATGAGTACCCATGAGCGAACGCACAAACGCCATATCCCAGCAAATGTTTCTCCCCTTGGGGACGGCCACCGAGGCAAAAGCGGGGGTAATCTGCTCAGCTACGATTTCCTCTCCCCAACACCCCGAGTGCTGTTTGAGCTCACAGGAAGATAAGTTTAAACGAACAGATGTCCATGGTCTTCCCTATTGCTACAAATCTTAGCGGGGCCCTGATGGCAAGGTGCCAACCAGACCCACGGAATAATAGTTGTCCAGAGTTTCATGAAAGGAATAAGAAAAACGGTCTGTATTCGTAACACAGAAGCGATGGACACAGCACGCCGTCCCCCTGGAACGAGCGCCCACGTCGTGTTCCCCGCAGAGGCAGGCTTCCCCGAGGGTGGGCAGGAAAATCTCTGGGCGAAGTCCTTCCCTCTCCCCGTTTAAGGGAAGTCATGACGCCGTTACTCTTTCCTACCCCTTCCTCTGCCCCCACCCCAAGAATATGAAAACAAATATCTGTAAAATTCTCACTCCCCACCACCCAGAACTTTCCGCAGCCCCTCCAACCCTACGCACTGAGTAAAAATTCAAAGGTGGCATCCCAAACCAAGCCTGGCTCTTCACTTAATAAAACACAACAAATACTCCGCTTCCTTAAGTCAGATATCCCTGTGCACCTGGCGGGAACCATCCAGAATTAGCATTTTCCTCCCCCTTCAAAGCCACGGGCACCGAGTGACTCACGCTGCGTGCAGCAGCCCCTCCAGCTCCCGGGGGCTGTGCTGACATCCTCGTCACGACGCTGCCCGCAATCTGTGACCACGCTGCTCCAGCATCTCCCTGCGGGATCGCCCCGACGAGCCCTGCTCACTGCAGCACCCTCTCTACCATCCAGAATTAGCATTTTCCTCCCCCTTCAAAGCCACGGGCACCGAGTGACTCACGCTGCGTGCAGCAGCCCCTCCAGCTCCCAGGGGCTGTGCTGACATCCTCGTCACGACGCTGCCCGCAATCTGTGACCACGCTGCTCCAGCATCTCCCTGCGGGTTCGCCCCGACGAGCCCTGCTCACTGCAGCACCCTCTCTCTAGTTAAACACGTCGGGCTTGGCTCCTCTGCCACGTGGCGAGAGCGGCAGGAGATACTGTTATCTGACATAAGGGAGGAAGGAAGAATTTACCTTAACCTGTATTCTGGTTAAAGGAGGAGGACCACACTTATACCTGGGTGGCCAGCCTTCAAGGCAAGTGTCCTGAATTTTCATGAGTCTTCGATGGTGCGGAGGGGCGGCAGGCACACAGCATACTCCCGACTCATCACGGTGAATGTCGGGTCCCTGAACTGCAGCTTTGGGAAGGCTACAGGAGATGGGACGGATTTGCTTCTGCTCAGCTGTTTCCTGGCACTGGGCGGGTGCCAGCACCTCTGGCTTTGCCCCAAACAGCTCCAGGCAGCCCTTGCTGTGTTTTGTTTTGTTTTTTGTTTTTTTTGGGGGAGTGTTTTTTTACTGATATTGACATACAACACTGTATAAGTTTAAAGCGTTGGTTTGATACATTTACATTGCAAAAGGATTACTCCGTAGCATCAGCTAACATCTCTATCAGTCACATATTTATCTTTTCTTTTTTGTCTTGAGAATAGTTAAGGTTTAGTCTCTTAGCAACCTCGAGTTTATAGTACACTGTGCCGTACGTTCTAAGATCTCCAGAACTTATTTATCTACTGGTTGTAAGCTTGTGCCCTTAAACATCTCCCCAACTCCCCACCCCCTGCCCCAGCCCTGGAAACCATCATTGCACTGTTTCTACAACTCCAGCTGTTTAAGAGTCCACATGTAAGTGATATGTCTCTCTCTGACTTAGCTCACTTCCTAGATGGTGTCCTGTTCCATCTTCTAATGCGATTTTATCCATTCAACAAAGGTTTAAGTTCGTTCTCTGCGCCTGGCCGAATCTCTAACTTTCTGGCTCTGGCATTCGCTCTTGCACTTGACCTCCCTCGAGCACCTTCGCAAACTGAACAGGCCCTGTGCCTCTGTCTCCAGTTTACTGTTTTTCTCCGTTTTCCCAGTGATGGTCAATTGCAGCAAATGGAACAGTTTCATGGCCTTTCTCTGGTCTCTGCTGATCTGCGCAAGTGTGAAGCGCGATTAGGTTTTTAACTTATTTTCAGTTTATTGGCCATTCTTCTAATTACAGAAGAAAACTGTAGCCAAACATCCCTATGCCAAGGTGGACTGAGGTGGACTCAACAATTTATCTGCGGATGTGCCCATCTCCTTCCATCATCTAACTCACCAGTTCGGTCTTTCTGAGGCGGATGTCCACTCATTGACAGTCATCAGTAACTTTACTCAAGGTTTAACTGATGGAAGGCACAGTGGAGGCTGAGGGGGTTCTGCAGCCCAGGAGCCAGCGTGGCTCTGCTGAGGACCAGCTCTCCCCCGGACTGCCCACCCCCAGCTTCCTCCAGCTTTAGGACGGCGGTTTGCACTAGCCCACAGCAACGTTAAGTGGACGGAAGGCTTTACGTAAGACGAGCCACTGAAATATGTCTCAGAGCTAATTGCTGCCTTTTCTGAAAAGAGTTGCATTATTTAGAAAATAACCAAGCACTTTTAAGACTCACATGTTTTTCACTGAAATTCTTCAAATGTCCTGCTGTGTTCATTTCAACAGGATTAAAAAAGTCAATCACGTCAGGTTACAAAATGTTTTTTACTTAATATTTTGAATTTATTGAAATAATTCAACTAAGCCAAAGCTATGACATCGTAGTGGCTACCACACCACTAAGCGGCAGGAATTTTCAGCCCCGTTGTGATCTCACGGGTCTGTCGTTGACAGAAGTGTCGCTACGCAGCGTGTGACTATATTCGAAGGTTATTCTTCTTCACAGGAAAATGTACCAAAGCCTAGAGTAACAGACCTGCTATGGAGCAGAAAATAAGGGTCTCGGGAAACCGAGCCTCGCTCTCAATCCAGCACAAATTCTACGTTCCTAAGGAGAGCACAGGGATCAAGGGCACGCCGAGCCTGAAAAGGCGTGTCACTCTACAGACACGATTGTACCACAGGCATGCAGCATCACCATCGCCTACGTGCGCTCCCCTTTGACCTCCAAAGTGCCCAAACGTACATCTGGGGTAACTGCTGTGGGGCAAGGCCAGCTTGTACCATGAGAGGTGCATGTGACACAGGAGGCAGCCTCTCTGTCCCAGTGAGTGTTAATCAGGGTTCTCAGGCACCGGGGTCATCACCACAGGCTTTCCCGAGTCTTCTCACCTCTCCCAAGCTCTCCCTCCCCCCCGAGTGTCTCCTGTCTGCCGAGCCCACGGGGTGACCCACAGACCTGTACAGAGCGACAGTTTACTAAGCACGTGCTGCGTGCCCGGCCCCGTTACCTGCCTTCCACGCATCTCACCGACCCCACACCCACGCCCACGCGACGGTAAGCTGTGTGGCTGGCCGCATTTTCCAGACGAGAAAACAGAATGGAGTGCTTAAGTGATCCACCTCCGTCGTACGGCGAGCAGGTGGCAAAGCTGGAATCTGAAGCCAGGTGTGTCGCCTCCGAAGCCACCGTTCTTAGCCATTCCCCCGGAAATGGCGAAGAACGAGTGAGCGTGCCAGGTCCAAACGCTGTGAGTCTGGGCTCGGGGCGGCGCGGAAAAGCCAGCACCGAGCGGAATCGAGCTGCTCACTGAGAGCCCGCTCTGGTCTGGAAAACGACCTCGGACGCGAACTGCCCTTGACAGGCCACTCTCGCGCGCCACCTCCATCTTCCCCTCAGCGCTAGGAAATGCGGAATTACGAGGCGGCAAAATGCTCGGAGAACCTGCCGTGCTTGGCCACATCGGAGCAACAGCCCGAGTGTCTGACAAGCCGGCAGTGAGAGGCGGCCGAGGCTGTGGGAAACGAGGTCTCCGGAAAGGGAGCAGAGCTCAGCTTCCCCTCCCGGTCGGAGTCTACCGCTGCCCCCGCCTGGATCAGGGTGCCCCATTTCTCACAGCGGCACTTTGCCACGGGGTCACGTGCTCTGTTCGACTGAGTTCTGGGCTTTTTTCTAAGAGAAGAAAAGAACAAGTGGCCTCCTAGATCGCAGGTAAAAATGAAAAAGCAAGACGACTTGCTTTGAAATGCAAAAGACCTCTATCTCCAGCTTGTCCCAGTGCTCCAGGGACCAGGGACAGGGCCACTATCGAGGGCCTCGTGGAGGACAAAGACCTTGCTCCTCCATGAGGCCCCGCCGGCCGTCCGCAGTCGAAGCAGCACAAGCGTCACCCAGATGCAGACGGGCCTGTGTGCTGCTGCCGTCGCCGTGACCTTTAAGGCACTCCGGACTACGTTTCCCTGAAGATCGTCGAGTACAGGAAAGGTGACAAACAAAAAATTAGTCTGTATCATATCCCAAAATGGGTCCAAGCCATTTCTCCACCTCGGCCACAGACATGTTCTTCCTCAGAGCATAATCCTCAATCTGCAAAAGATTGAAAGCAGCTTATCAGACCAAAGTGGTAAGACTTTTTGAACTGAAGTTTCCACAGGATTTGCCCAGAAACATGAAGTGCCTTCCATTTCTCGTCTTAACAGCAAACCACCGAGTTAAGCTGCCTATTCTCCGGGCAGGAAGGCAACATGTAGGAACTGCCTGATACTCAGAAGCTGGCTGGGGGTGGGATGAGTGTGTGTGTGTGTGTGTGCACGCGCGCGTGTGCGTGTGTACACCTGTGTGCGCGTGCGCGGTCTGTGTATGAATGGGGGAGCTAGAACTGGGGTGATGAGTTAAAATCGAATGAACAGCTTAACTGAGATAAATTTCACCCTTTCCCTCTCGTTTTATTCTCATTCAGATATGAAATAAAATAGGCTCCACAGTTCCACTTAAAACGAGACAGGCATCTTGGGAAGTCACGGACAACCAAACGGCCAGCTTACCTGATCCTTGCAAATCTTCCCCACGGCAAAATATTTGGACTTCAAGTTGGAGAAGTAAAGCCCGGAAACGGCGGACGCAGGGGCCATGGCCAGGGACTCCGTGAGCCTGATGCCTGGAGACCGGGGAGAAATGCTCATTTGCGCAGTGCCCAGCACAGGGCCTGGCACTCAGAAGCCCAATAAACGCTGTTGAACGAGTGAACGAACATGAACTCAGGCCTTCCAGGTGGACTCAGGACACAGAATGGAAGATGTGACCAGACTAGTCTAGCGAATTCCTGCCACAGGGAAGGACAAATTCAGGACACACGGATCTCCTCTAAACCAGAGGAGATGCCTGGAAAAGACTCTGTACTCGGACCACAGACCTCCAAGGTCAGGTCCAGAGGCCCCAGCGGCTCCCAAGCCTGGACCGTCTCAGACCAGGAGCTCCAACCCTGGAGGTGAGAACACCGGCTGAGCCTCCAAGGGCTCCTGTGGGGCCACTGCCACTAGGGTGACTGACGGTCGGGTCTCAGTAAGAAGGGGCCGACAGCGGTACTTAGAAAAGACACTTTTCTTGGGAGTGTGGAACTCAAAGGGTGCATCGGGGCCCCTGGGCCCGGCCTCTCATCTGTGGACAGGGAAACGGCGAGACGGAGAATAGGCCTTTGTCAAAGCTCACCCCGCCTGCGGCAGAAACGGGGCTCCCATCCCCGACTGTGACCCCGGATACCCGAGCCCTCCCCGCTAACGCAGTCGACACAGCCTCACAGCTCCTCGCTGCCATCTAGGCCCCTCGGCTTCATCAGCGTGGCCACACGCTTGGGATTAAGGCCGTGAACATCATAACGCGCGTTGGCAGCAGTGTAGAAGGGGGGTTGGGAGTGCTGAAGGGAAGGGTGCAGCTTCTTCAAGGCCACTGTCCAGAGACACAGCCAGCAAGCAACTGAGAAAGGCCGTGAAGGCTGCCACCAGAGGTTACGAAGGTCACCAAGGGACAGGAAAGACGGTGACACACCCGAAACAGGAGGGCAGCAGAGCAATACAGTACAGTACGCCAAACTCCCATCTGTTCCAGTTAAAATTGGTAAACCTAAAACTGGTGATGTAAGACTCTTCAATAATAATAAGGTAAAATACTAGAACAAACAGCTAGAGGTGAAGAAGAACAGGGTACGATTTCGTTACAAGCCTGTTACGTTAGAACCACCTGCGCCACGACCGAGCCTTAGATAAAAGGGTATCTGCCCAACAGAATAAGGAGGGCGGGGCACGCCGCCTCCCCGCACGCACCTGTGTGCCGCTCGATGTCGGCGAGCTCCCACATGGTCAGCTTCTCGGTGTGGTCGGGCTGGCTGGGGTAGCCGGGGGCCGGGCGGATGCCCCCGTAGCGCAGCTGGCGCAGGTCGGCGAAGCCCAGCTGCTCGCCGCCGCAGTAGGCCCACAGCTCCGTGCGCACCCGCGCGTGCAGCTCCTCCGCAAAGGCCTGGGGCGGGGACGTGGCTCAGCAGAGGCCAGGCCTCCCAGGGCCCCGA